CGCCCGCGCATCTCCCGAACACCGGCCGCCATGGCACTACACAAGCACCTTTGACGCCTTTCGCAAAATGTACCTCAAGGAAGGCATTGCCTCCTTCTACTCGGGCCTTACACCTGCGCTTCTTGGCCTCACCCATGTTGCCATTCAGTTTCCGCTATACGAGTTTCTCAAGATGAAGTTTACTGGCCTGGAAATGGGCCAAACGGACAGCAAGACTGAAGACGTGCACTGGTTCGCTATTGCGCTGGCAACAGTCTTGAGCAAGATGACGGCGACTTCGGCGACGTATCCACACGAAGTCTTGCGCACGCGCCTGCAAACACAGCAACGTTCGCTGCCCTCGCACTCCGATAATAATGTATCGTTTCGAGGAGGCCAGCACGACCGCTTTCATACCCGCCCTCCGGGCACGGCTTCGTCGGATGGTATGATAAACCTGCCCCGCTATCGTGGGATCTTGCGAACATGCACAGTCATCCTCCAGGAAGAGGGATGGAGAGCCTTCTACAACGGAATGGGAACTAACATGGTCCGTGCTGTACCTGCTGCAGTCACTACCATGTTGACATTCGAATCGTTGAAAGCCGTCCACCAGAAGCTTAAGAACGAGGGTAGGAGGATAGAGCACGATGTTGAGTGACGATAAGTATCTGAAATTCGTCTCTCAATTCACAGGAACCGATCGGCATCATTACCGGGCGTTTCGTCATGGGTTAGGAGTGGAGATATCCTAGTGAGCACTCCTGTTCTGTTTGTTCATACGTTTGTACGCACAGGGCAGCATTTTCGGGCACTGTCAGCATCAAAGCTTTGGCGTTTGTAGGACAATATGGTTGATTTCCTATAGGTTGTCGCAAGTGCGAGCAGATTTAGCACTTGTTTGAGAGGCACCATCTACATGATTATCTAAATATACTACTAGGAGAGCATTGCTTCTAACAGGTGCATTGTTGCCAGGCCTCCTGAACAAAGCATGCCAACAGGGCGGTCAGCGTCGCAAACGCAGCGCCGCATACGCTGAAGTCATGAGCACCGTCAATAACAGTGAGTTGACGTGTCTACATTCTTCAAGTGAGCGAAGCCCCATTCGCTGAGGTTGGAATTGACAAACGCCCACGCCACTCGCCCTGGTTCCGCGGTCATGCAGGCGCACCCTTCCTAAAATGCACATGCTTCACGCGTTAGACTTCACACCCTTTGCTAGGCTATATACCTTGCATGTTAATCGTGTCCATTGTCTTGGCCTTTCTGCCGGCACACCATCATGATTCCGTGTACCGCTCCCGCAGAGCCGCATATAAGCCCACCGCCCATACCTGTCCGCAGCCAGCTACGACACGGTTCAGCATATCAAAAGAGGCTGCGCGCTATCATTTCTGAGCGTACGAATGCAACTAGTGTTCCATCGTCTCCTGCCTCCCAAATCCTTTTCGACGAACTTGACCGCGAGTTGACGGAAACAGAACAGAGACTGGTCAGCGTCAACTTGGAGGGAAAGGATATGAGTGACAAGAGAGAGTGTCTGCTCTGGGATAATTGGGAAGGGAGCGATACGTCGACTGAAAGAGGGCTCAAGAGTGACAGTGGTGGTGCTCTGGGAGACGGCTGCTTCAGTGAACTCGAATATGAAGCGAGCGATGGAGACAGCTATCCCGAACCATTGCGACTAAGTGAGAGAAGCGGGGATGTTGTGGAGCAGATGGTGGTGCAAGGGCGCGTGCCGGCACAACGAGGAAGTCGCGACGGCCCACCTTCTGCCATCTACACTAATCACACAACGCGCTCTGAGCACAGCTCACCATCCTCTGATTACAGTGTTCAGACAATGGATACGAAAGTGTCCGACTGGCTGGCACAAGGGTTCCATACCTCTGAGTCTCAGGAACCGAATCCTCCACGACAGGTTTCCAGCAACTCTGATCGCGCCTTCCCTCCCAGACATGCTGTCCTCTCACTTTTCCCACCAACGTCCCTGTCGACCGGTAACAAAGAGTATACACCACCCGGCAGCCCTTTTGCTCGACCTGATTACCCGATGTCCCCGTTGAATAACGGAAGAGATGTGTACGGCAATTACATATCTTCAAACAAGAAAGACTACTTCGCCCCGCAGTCGCCTCCAATGTCGCCTAATATGCAGGCCATCCCGGAAAGCCGAGCCTCTTTAGATCAGGGTCGATCGCCACCCATGGTGCGTCTCCGTGGTGGTGGCTGGAATCTGAAGGGACTATGGAAGACATCCGATACTGGAGGTTCTGATCAAAGCCCTGGTTCAACTTCTATGCCACATCTTACTGGCAAGGATGCTATTGTGCGGGACTTACCTACAATAAATCAAGCTCGGCACCCGGAAAGTCAGGCGGCGCGAAGTGTGCGATCGCACTTCTCCACTACTCGCGATGGTAACGATACAAGGACAGCACAAGGACTGCCAGTCAGATCATCGCCTATTGACACTAGACGACATGGTCAATTTCCCGTTGGAGGGGGCGACGTCAGACCAGGCTCGAATACGCCAGACTCTGCAGGCACGGACGATAGCTCTGTTCCCCGAGCTCGTGCTGATGCAGTCTTGTATCAGTACTTTGGGGCTCAGCTATCCCCACTCGTACCAACATCCCCGGAGATGACCCCATTTAACGTTCGAGCACATCATACAACTCATAGCGGAGCTGATGTACCAGTAATGAATGGGCACCGCTCGCCTCGTCTCGACCGGGCTCTCGCTCAACTCAATTCTCGAAGTGCGTTTTCCTCTCAGAATGACGATGCGCGCCGCTCTACAAGCCCCTCACAAGCGGAAACGAAGACTGAAGATGGGCCATGGGATGCTGTAAGATCACAGGAGACTTCGAATATCGATGGCACAGCTCAAAGCCATGTAATTAGTCCGAGGGTTAAGAAGAGATGGGATAGAAATAACCCTCCTCCGCCACCAAGACTCCCTCCGCCGAATCCACCCAGATTTCTGCGAACTGATCCCCCCGATGACGATGATGACGATGATGCCTCCGAATACACCGACGATAGCCATCCAATTTCCTCCGTGGCAACCGCCAATATGGGGCATGATCAGCTAATTGACCTTCTGGATCTGAATAAGACCGATGTGTACAGAAGGGTTGAGCGTGAGCGCGAGGTTCGACGTATACAAGCACAGCGAGATTGGCACGAGGAAGCAGATCGTAGACGCGATTTAGACGTCAGGCGGCAGCAGCAGGAGGTACTGGGATCGCGAGAGCCTGATCTAGACACTATCTCACCGGACGACAGCGTCACTGCAGTAATGCGGCGCCAGCAAATCGAGAGACGGCATGATTTGCAGCGCTCGGCAGCTGTGGGAGATTATCGTCCTACCAGCTCACCGACACCTTCGCGATATCTGCCTCGCCACGGTCCTATTACAGCTAAAGCTAAGGTCATACCCCAACAGCAAAGCGATCGCATTCACACCATTGGCTACCCGTCTGTTGTGCCAGCCCCGGCAGCCTTTGAGCCAGCTTCCATCAAGCGCAAGCACTCTTTACAAACAGTCCTCTCCAAGGCAGGAAAACTCACACGTCTGATCCTAGCTGCTCCTTCGGATCCCAAGTACAAGACGTATTCACAGCGACAGCCTCCGGTAAAGCAATCAGGAATGAGCGCCGATGCCACTGGGTGGCCAAGAAGTGGAAAAGCCTCTTCAGCAAACCATGGGATGTTCATGTCAACTCAGGCACCACAGCAAAGGACTATGTTCAGCCGCGATCGGCCGCAGACCAGTGGAGATGATGTGAAGAAATCGGATAGCAGGGGTTGGGAGCATCCAAGAGGCAGGAGAGCGAAGAAAGTCGAGAAGGTGGAGACTAAGAAAAGGAGAGGGAGGTGGGGAAGAAAAACGGATGACGAGACGTCCACTGGAGATGCTCAAGTCATCGATTTTGCGTGTCAAGACGCAGCTCGGTCAAAAGGTGGTACACGGCTTCAACATCCGCCTCGCGCACGTTCGCCATCACCAAAAGCTCTAACGCGAGCCGCTGAGCCTCCCATTGCTCCTGTTTCCAAGTCTTCCACGTACCACCACCCAGAACCCGAATTCACGCCTAGCGACGCAGCAGGTACACCGCAAACAAGATTTGGCCCACCAGATCGCGAGGGAAAGTTATACGTCCGTCGCCGCGATGGAGAGGTCCTACCATTCAATCCCGCACTGGGATATCCGTACCACTCACGTCTCAACACCTACTACGACCACAAAACGGTAGATGCCACAACGATGGCATGGCTGCAAGGCATCCGCGCACAAACCGATGCAATTCCTCATCCCACGATCAACATGCGAGGCGGTGACGGTAGCATCTCTTCCGAACTGCGTTCCACGCATGGCGAAGCGAGCAGTCTGGCATCGCACCACCACCTCCTAGCGTCAGCGGCAATGAGTCTGGATAGTGGCGACGAAACAATCGATGGTACTGATATAGACGCCCTACTTATGTCGTCCATGCATCTCCGTTTGGGTCGGGTTACGCACGAAGCTATTGCTGCAGTCAACGGCACCCATGAAGATGGAGGGGACAACAGGCCTAGTTGTGATGAAGCACACGTCCGGTCGAGTTTCAGCACTGATTCTACGGTGGAGCTCAGGCGGGGGAAGAAGGCCAAGGAGAGTGCCTGGCGGAACGAAGACCAAGCTAGGGCTATGGCTATGGCTATGCATGGCTTTGGGTAAGGGCATTCGGTCTCGGAAACCCGTCGGAAGGAACGAGGGTGGTGATCATGGGTCACTATATATGAAAATATCCTCGTGTAGGGGGAAGATGGCTCTTCATAGCTTTCTGTGGCTACAAACTGGCATGGGAGCTCAGTCACGATTCCACATCCATGTCTGCGGGAAACTCTCTTACAAATCTATACAACATTTCAAGAACGCCTCATTCCTGCCCAAAACAGTGCCCTTGTTATACAGAGTTGAGATGATATCCAAAAGACGCCATTCCATGCCAACCATGCTCATCAAATCATCAATAATCGCAGTGATTATAGTCATAAAGCGAGCCCATACCCGCAACCGTAAGCGCAAAGTCGACCGTCTCGCTTCTATCCCAAAAGTACTCGCGCATCCACGTGGAAACCATATCGAGAGCCGAAACGGCCGAGTTGCTCGACCACACTTTCTCGTGGCGGGCCCAGGAAGAATGCTGCCATAGCGTCTCAGGATACTGTTGCTGCAGCATTGGGAGTAGCGATCTGGGTGCTGCGGCTCGTGTGCCGTGTAAGATGCCAGCTTGGACGAGGGGATAGATCCCTGAGGCTATACTTATGATGGCGATGAGATTGGGGTTTAGACATTGCGAGGTGAGGAAGGAGGTAGCTTCTACCGGCATTGCGGTCGCTGAGAAGGATCCAGGGATGACGAGGATGTCGAATTGAGGCGCATTGTCGAACGAGTTCTAGTTAAACGTCAGTCACAGTACTCGAAAAAGAAGTTGAAGCGAATAGTGGGTAGGGGCTCGTGTTGACCTTTACCTCCCTGCCAGACTTGTCAGAGATGACTACTTGAAGGCAGTCAAGACCGGGCGAATCCAGCGCGACCAAAAAGGGTGGCTCTTCTTGGCCAGAGGAGATGGCTGTTTGGAGGGTATGGATGGATGGATGGGTGGGAGGTCGTGTCGATCGTGTTTTCGATACGGAGCAATTCGAAGCTTAGCTCACCGTCACCGGCATTCGCGTGCCAGCCGTGACAGGAAAACTCCCCTCTCCGGTCACACTGACATATCGAATGTCGATTTCGTCCACGGCCGAGTCAATGGCGGATGCCGTGGCGTGCATTCTGCTAATTCTGTTTCTTCCGACCATGGCGAGGAGGTCAAGTGCGGCTAGGTCGGCTAGTTGGATTTGGTCGTTGCTGAGTACCAGCACGCCGATGCGTAATGAGGACTTTGATGGAGGGGCATAGTGGATGTTGAGGTCTTCTTCGGAGGTTGATGAGGTGGTGCAGAAATAGAAGAGGTCGGCCTGACTCGGAAATGATATTGCGCTTCTTGGTGGAGACGGCATGAGGAAATGTGACGGTCGGTACGATGGAGTGGAGATTGAACTTGACTGATGAATCGGTGTTTTGCTCAAATGAGCTGGACATGTATGGCTATATTACCGTGCGGCCTCAGGATGGCTTTATATACTCCAGGCTGTAAACTCTCGTACATCCCTGGAATCCAGGGTAGCAGTGAACAGGGCAAGAGTATTGTCAAGCGTCATACGGATACCCACCCCCCACTGTAAGATGATCTGCATTAGTGAGGTGCGGCTCAGCCCCTTGGTGCCCTTGGAAGCTCGCTGACTCAGTCCGGTTAGAAGCCGTTCGTGACCGACTGCTCCCGACCAGACTCGCTATCGTGCAACAAGGCGTATACAGGCCCATATCGCACCGCTTTGCGTTCGAATCAAGTTGAGAACGTGTATCGCCTATGACAGCTCCAATTTAGACATCACTGCCTGTTCTTCGCCTCGTAAACTGCCGTGATGAGAGACTAGGCATCCCCATTCGCATCCATGCCAGTGGACGAACGCGTTCGGTAAGCGGCACGCGTAACGGGAGCGCCGAAAACGCGGATAAGCACTTGAACGCATTGAAACAACTCCAAGATGATTAGACGGTGGCTGTGAGCGGAGTTAAAGGAAGAAGTCGGAGTAGTTCAGATTGAGCTCAAGGCTAAGAGGTCCGGCGGAGCGCCTTAAGGCTCAGGCACCAGATTCTGCTGGTCAGCTGTCGCGGAATTACATCAGGGCCGGAGATTTGTTGTGACCAAGATAGCAATGGGAATTGTAATGGGGGAGCTTGGATACGGTGGCTTCGCGATGATGCGTGGCGACCCGGCTTCAGCTCGTGGCATGTGACGTCTGCGCGCCGCTTGGGGCAGGAGCAATCTGGTGGAACACCGAGATGCCGCGACGCTGGACGGAGGACTGTGATGGCGCATGCGCACCGCTCTTGACTCTATCGGAACCCCCTGAAATGATTCGAACGTGCTACATTATTGATGTCTTGACCTGGATCGCGCCCAAAAGCGACTTTGGTATCTCACATAGTCAGGTGTGGATTTAGGGTGGGAGGGTATTCTTCATTTATTCGCTGCATCTACAAAGTCGCACCAGATGTAGAGGGCCGCGGCGGCAGCTCAAAGTCAGAGCTTGCGCGCAAACACAGCCGTGAAATCCATCGCTTGTTGACCCAAAAACAATATAGAAAAAGGTTGTCGTAGATGCACGCTACGTTGCACTTTCTAGATGTCCTTGGCCTCACCGTCAGCCTCGCCGGACTTGACGGTCTTGCCAGTCTTCTTGATCTTCTCGAGGACGGTGTCGTAGGATAGCGAATCGGCGGCGGTGATCTCGGCGGTCTGGTTCTCGAGCGAGACGTTGTACGACTCAACACCTGTGGAGTAGTTAGAACTTGATCCCTAGACCACCGGCGCATGCTGCATCGGAAACTGACCCTCGAGCTTCTTGAGGACGCGCTCAATAGCGCCAGAGCAGCCGCCGCAGCTCATGGCAACGTTGAACTTGTAGGTGTGCGTCATGGTGTAGGAGTTTGTAGGTGGTGCTGCTGGCAAAGTCCGAGGTTTAGTGCGGGTCGCGGGGCTGTGATGTGGCGTGGTTGTGTTTGTTTGATAACCACGAAGAGAGGAGCTGTGACTAGTATATATAGGTATCACTAGCGGAAGGACGTTGCGACGAGCGGATGAGCAAGTTTCAAGATGGTGGTGCAATTCGGCTAGATTGTTATAGATTGCCGTCGCGCCCCGCTGACATATTGAGCCTCCATCACGACATTTCCGGGTTGTGGAACCGCGCGCGCCTCAGCCATGTATGTACAATGTCCGTGTCTCGTTTGACATGGCGATACTTTGGTGGCATGAAACATGCTCAGTGAGTGTCCGGGAGCAGACGGTCAGGTGTCTTCGCCGGAGCTCTGACATGGGGACACGGTGTCTTGCATGCCGCGACCCGTAAATTGCCATGTCCAAGTCTCGCATGTGCTGGGCCCGTTCCTGCAGGTGAATTGCTGAACCCTGAGGCCGCGCCCGCCCCACGTTGGCTAGCGCGGGGCTCAAGCTGCATCCCTCGCACGCCCAGGCGGTTGGGCGGTGACGTCGCCCACTGCCGTCTGTAAACACGGCCAAACTGTTCTTGCCCATGACTTTGAGTGCAGCAGCCAGCCAGCAGACGACACAACCCGCACCATGGCCAGCAACATCCTGTTCCTCCCGTTCCGGCGCTCGCACTCTGTGAACCTCACCGACGCCATCAAGCAGTACATATCCTCCAAATATGACCAGCATCCCGACATGTTCACCAAAGACCTCGAGACGATCGAGAAGCTGCGGTCCGTCGCCACCCACGCCCAAGAACCCCACCCGAGCAACATCCCGAAGCTGCAGCAGTACGCCGCGCAGCTGATATGGCTGAGCGGAAAGTTCCCCATCGACATCGGCGTAGAATTCCCCTGGTATCCTGCGCTGGGATACAACACGAGCCGCCCGACATCGCGTAACAACCTCCGCTTCGAACTCGCGAACATCATGTTCAACCTCGCGGCCATGTACTCCCAGTTGGCCATGTCGTCGAACCGGAGCACACCAGACGGGCTGAAGATGGCAGCCAACAACTTTTGCCTCGCAGCCGGAGTCTTGTCGCACTTGAGGAATACTATTCTGCCGGAGCTGCGGACAGAGCCACCCGAAGACATGGACCTCATGACACTTGAGTGCTTGGAAAAGCTCATGCTGGCTCAAGGGCAGGAGTGCTTCTGGCAGAAGGCTGTCAAGGACGGGATGAAAGACGCGACCATCGCCAAACTAGCCGCCCGCGTATCCGATCTATACAACGAGGCGGGAGACGCAGGCATACAATCGGACGCTATCAGCAGCGAGTGGATACATCATATGACGGCGAAACACCACCACTTTGCGGCTGCTGCACAATACCGCGCAGCCTGCGATTCTCTCGAGAAGCGCAAGTACGGCGAGGAGGTCGCACGGCTACGCGACAGCCTTACGTGCGTCAACGAGGCTCTCAAGGAGCAGCGCTACATCAACAAAGTTGTGCTTGCAGATCTCAACGGCTTGAAGAACCGGATAACGGAGGACCTGAAGCGGGCCGAGAAGGACAATGACATGATCTACCTGCTACCTGTACCACCAAAGGTAGAGCTCAAGATCCTCGATCGAGCCAACATGGTAGTCTCTAGAGTCCCCAAGGAGATAGCCGAGTCCAACTCGATGCTGGGAGAGCGCGGCGAGCTTGGCCCAGCGCTCTTCTCCAAGCTGGTGCCCTACTCAGTACATCTGGCTGCTAGCATCTACGTAGACCGCCGAGATCGATTAGTCAACGGTACCATCGTAGAAGAGCTAGAGTCATTGACAAATAAGATTCACGAGGTACTCCGCAGCTTAAACTTGCCCGGCTCCTTGCAGGCTCTAGAGAAGCCACTAGGACTTCCCCCTGGTCTCGTAGCACACGCTGAAGAGATCCGTCAACAAGATGGCATCAACCGTCTCTTGCGCTCAATGGAGGATACGAAGAAGCTCATGTACACCGACCAAGCTATATATCAAGAAGGTGTCGATATCCTGAGGTCCGAAGCGACAGAGGACGAAGGCGCACGACGCAAGTTTGGCACAGAACGCTGGACACGGCCGCCTGCAGAGCAAGCAGCGCCTAAGCTCTATGCCCAGATCAACGAAATCGACGGCTACTTCAAGGCTGCTACTAACAGTGATAATATCGTAAAGACAAAGTTGAAGGAGAATGAGCACTTCATACGACTGCTCAGTGGACCAGATCACGAACTCGAGAACTATGTCCCGAGCGGCCGGAGACCTGCCATCACTGGCGATGTCGAGCGCGAGGCCGGCAAGCTTCGTGGCAGCTTCAATGAAGTCAGCAGGCTCGAGAGTAGGCGACGGCGGAAGATTGAGGCCTTGCGGACAAAGGCGAAGCAAGACGACATAAGTAAGTCCCGCGCATCTCTACACAAGCCATATCCTGACAGCAGGCTAGATCCGGAGCTGTTGCGCGAAGCTGCTCGCTTAGAACGGGAGTACCCTATGCAGACAATCGAGGCTGTGCAGTTTGAAGGGCTTTTCGACAAGCGTCTTCAGATGTACGACGCCGACCAAGACATGATCCAAGAAGAAGAAAAGGAGCAGGCAGAAGCTATCAAGCGACTGCAAGACGCAAACGCGGCGTTCTTGATCGCTCGTCGTGGCGATCAATCCACCAAGAAGCGTGAGCAAGCGTTGCAGAATTTAGAAAACGCATACTTCAAGTACAAGGAGATCATCTCGAATCTCGACGTTGGGCGAAAGTTCTACAATGACCTAGCTAAGATCGTAAATCGATTTCGGGATGAAGCGCGCACTTTTGCTTACAATCGCAAGTCAGAAGCGTCACATCTAGAAAGGTATACAGATGCAACGATTAGTTCCAACGGCTGTGCTAATGGTCCCAGCGATCTCACTACTCGAATGAGCTCCCTCGGCCTCCAGCAAGCAACGACAAACTCATTACATCAGCAAAAAGCGGCAGATGCACAAAACCCGCATTATGGTGCGACTGCACATGCGGAAGAACCTTTGGCAGCCCCGACACCCACGAGAGCAAATGTACCCCCGCCGTCTGGTATGTGGACACCAGAGGTTGGAATCCGGTTTGGTGGGGTGCCTACATCATCCGGGAACGCTCGACCTTCTGCTGGTCCTCCACAAGATGGGCGGTGGGACCCTGCACAAGGCCTAAAGTTTGGGTAGATTTGGTGGCCTGAAGCGTCATGCTATTAGCACAAGTAGTATATGGTCGAGATGTGGACCCAATGCACATGCACTTGTGCGGCTCTGCGAAAACACACGATTGGGACCAAATATGCTATTATTATCGTAGCTAAGTAATGCATCTCACAACGTTGTCGAGCATAGGAGCGAGGGCTTGGTTTGTGGGGACACGGGAGTACGCCTTGAGAAAGTGCGCCTTGCGACGTTGGTTCGAGCGAGGCAGTG